CAAAGTGATCTTTCTTCTCTATCCTTCTGACATGAGTCAGTCAAGATTCATCCACTGGTCCAGTGAAGGAGAGAAAACGAGAGACTGGGAGGGTGGGGACCAGGGGGGACAGAAGATCTGAGCTGCCTGACGGCCACCTTGACAAAAGCGTGACCTCCTTTCACGCCAAGTTTTGTTCTTAGAGCTTGCGTGTAGTGCCACGCCACCGCCTATCAAACTGGAGAGATAAAGAGCTCCTATCTGCCAAATCTTGCAAGCTGAGCAATGACCCAGTGAAGTTCTCTGAAGAGTCAAAAGTTCATCATCTCACCGGGACTCTTGATGCCAAACAACATTGGGAGCCCAAACACAGATAAGCATATTGCCACTGTCATCATTTTCAGCAATTAATAATTATTTAAAATGCATAGGAATATGAGAAAGAATAAAAGATTATACCACACAGCCCGCATGTGACTCTGAAAAAGCATCAAAAAGGAAGGCTCATTGTCCAACAAGCCTAGCCCTGATCCTGACCTCTGAGAGTTATGCTGTACTTCTATTACGGTTCTTTAAATATTACTCCTGGACACGCCCTGCCTTCTGGACTCAACTGTAAGCTTCTTATGGACCAGACTTGCATCTCAAGAGACAGTGCACTGTGGTGCTGAAGAGTACGGGCTGGGTTCCAAGCATGACTTTGCCTCTTAAGAGCTGGTTGACCCTGGGCAGGTCACTTATCTTCGCTGTGCCACCGTGTCCTCATCTGTGAAATGGAGGTAGTAACAGTGTCTACCTCAGAGGACCAGAGTGAGGATTAAATGGGCTCGTACACAGTCAGTGATCACCTACTGATCATCTCTAAATTTCCTTTAGGGCCTAGTTAGCACAAAGCCTCTCACACATTTGATGCTTATTAAATATTTTCAGACACACTGATCTGCCCTGGAGTTGTTTTGTCCATCCCTCTCACTCCTGTCCTAACTTTCTTGGTTTTTTTTTTGAAAGGTAGGTAAGTTACTGCTTCATTCTGAGTCATTTGGGGGAATACAGACAGCCCATCGTAACAACTGTTTTAAAAAAATCTTAAATAATCCTTGAGTTTTCTCCAACTGTATTAAAACATTGCCCACTCACAGCAATGTAACCAGAAAATTTCCAGCCTTCGCCTTCACTTTAAGCCAGGTAGTTTTAAGATCCTTCCCCTGCCCCAGAGCCAAGGCTGACTAATTCTGTATTTTTTTTCTATAAAGTATAACCGGGAAGGCAAATTGTTCAGAGAGCCGTGCCTAGCGAATGTGTGTTTACATGTGTGTCATAGTTGAAAGAGTCTGTATAAAACCTCCAGAAAAGCCTCTAGAGTTATAAAACGCAGCCATATTAATGTGATTTACCCAAGTACAGTAAATGAATTGCCACAAAAAAATGAACAACTGCTCCAGAGTCAAGGAGATGGCACCATGTGACTGACGCATATCACATGAGATGAATAAATCAACAGTGGGAAAGATCAAAGAAAATGCTGGAACTGTTGTTACTATATACAGGGCCTCACTGAAAATCTTCTTAATAAAACTGTTTAGAGGAAAATAGAAGGATCGTTTGTTTAAATGAAAAGACATACTGCATGTGCTGAATTTCAAAAGCAGGATTCATTTTCATACACACACGCATACCAGGTTTAGCTAAAATTAGCTCAAGTTCCTATTTTTTTTAAAGGTCTTAAAGGAACAAAGGTTTCTACGAGATTTCATTGAACTGAGTTTCCAAGGTGTCTGAGCTTCTGGGGAGGACCCATTAGTCGCACCCATGCCTCATCCCCAAGTCTTCGAGAGGAAGCGTACCACACCAACATTTTAGCTCCTATCTGCTGCCGCTTACCTTCTCTCACAAACTCTGTGCCAGCTGATGTTATGCCTGAAATACAGTCATCCCCTCCTGCCTGTCAGACGTTCTGCCAGCCACAAAAACCCAAAGCCCAATTTCAAAGATCACTGTATGCCAGTGGCCCCTCCAAATTTATCTCCAGACCTGATCTCTCAGCAATTTTATTCCCACACCCTCTACTGCCTGCTGGACTCCAGCAACTCAGATGTCCACCAGCACCTGTGCTTCAGCCAAAAATGGCCTTGTCAGTTACATACCATGCACTTCCCTGTCATGCCAGAGCCACCTCAGTGGCTTCCTCCTCCTGCTCTATTCATCCCTCCCCACAGAAATGCTAACCAGCCTTCAGACTTGAACTCAAATGATCCCTCCTCCTCAGTCTTTCCTCACCATCCCACTCAGCATCATTCTTCTGAATTCCTTCTGTGCCAGAATGCACCCCAGTAAGGACAACCCACCCCATTCTGCTTTGCCTTAGTTCTTTCTGAGCACCTCTTCTCTCCACGACCTGACCACAAAGAACACGTACAGCATAACCTCTTTTGGGTGGCTCTTACTCACTGTCATTCCCACAGCACCGTGGAGTGGTTGAAAAAATACACAGTGCATAAATGAATGAATCATTTCTTTATATAGACAGCGCCTGTGAACAAGTTAGGTCATAACTTTGCTATCACCATATCTTATTTACAAAATAACTAGACCAGGAATAATTGTAACCTAGGTTTTCATTTCTTTTCCAAAAAACCCTTAATGAACACAATAGAGTACAACATGAATGGCACTATTTCCCTGCCCATGTTTAGTCATCGATTGTGAGGACTCTAACACGGCCTTATTTATGCAAAATGTTCAAATAATGCTTATAAGCTTTCTTTCAATGCAATCACAGAAAATGTCAGCTGCTTAAAATTCAAGGTGACTCTGCATTACTTTGTCAGTATTACAATATGAGTATTCACAAGCCACTACAACTTCTTAACGTACTATAGAAACCTCAGTCTCGTCTCAATAAGCTTGCACATATTGTCCCAGAGATACGACTTTCTGGTGCCTGTATTTTCACAATAAACTTCTCTTTTAAACATTACACGTTCTTTTAAAATTGCATATGTATTAACCACTTATGCAATTAAACTACTTCCCCCCCCCCAAACTTCAATGTGAGGATTTTCTGCCTCGAATATAATTGTCAAACCAGGTAACACCCATAAGAGGTAAAGTAGCAGCAGTAAGGCATCTCAATGCTTCCATTCGGCTGGCACAGACTTAAGAGGCTTACCTTTGCATATAACTCTGGGGTTTTCCTACTCCCTTTCACAGGACATCTCCCTACCCCACAGCCAATAAAATGTAAAATACCCACTGCCAAATTCCAGAAGATACAATGTTCGTGACCACTTCCTTCCTCCTCTTCCCTGCCTCCCCAGTAGAGACTTCTCTGACTGTCCTTTCTGAGGCACGGTACTTGTAATCACTCAGGTTTTTGTTTGTTTTCACACAAACCACAAATAACTTATTCTATGCATGCAACTCATCAGTTCACCTTACAACAACATAAGAGCAGTACGTACATATTCTCTCACTCTAACAGAGCTGGAACAGTACAAAATTCAGAAAAACCAGTAAAAGACCAAGGTACAGGTATACTGACTTGTTCCTTCCTAGTCACGTACGGTTCAGGAGCAACCATCACAATACGATAATATTAAAATTACCCTGTCAAGACATAAGTTAGTTGATCACGATGATAGCTTATGTTCATGAATCACAAACCATATGTGAGGCAATATCCTGCCCAGTAAATGTGTATTATTTCATTCCATCCTCACAGCAGCAGCCCTAGGAGAAAGTTCTAATGGTATCTCCATTTTTAACACAAAGACACCTCGGTGTTGAAAGGGTACAGGATGCCCAAGGTCACAGTGGCAGCACTGGATGTAAATCCAGACGGGCTAGTCCCTGGGCCCCATGCTCTTATCTCAGATGCCACGAAACTTAGACGTAATTTAAAAGCTGGATCTTAAGTAAAAAGAGGGAGTTCTTTATGCAAAGAAAACTGGTGAATCACTTCCAAGATGAACATTTTGGTGAAGCAACTATCCACATCTTAACAAATTAGTTGAAAATTCCTATCTTTACATGTGACATTTGGTAAAAAGTAGACTTTTCATCTCACCAAGTAAGGCAATAGAATGTGGATCAGAAAGAGCTGCCAAGAGATCACCCAGCACAGCAGTTCCCCAACCTGTGGAGCCGTCCAGAGGTATGATCCCGAGAGACCATGAGGGCTCATTTCGATGCAACAGGTCTAGGGTTGAGTCCCAAACTCTTTTTTTTTAAGCTCCCAGGTGATTCTGTTGCCCAGGCAGGCTTGGGAACCTCTGAACTAGTCTATTTCCACAGCTTCCGGCAGGATCACTCCCCAGGGAAATAAATAGAAAGAGGGCATCTATTTCACAACTGCCTTTGGTTGCGTACACCAGTGTTCCCAAACCCTTATTGCCCTAACTTGTGTCTAACTTCCATCTCTCCTGACTTCCTTCAGCCAGTATCCTCTTGTCCTCTCGTCAACAGAGAAACGTGAGTCATCAACCCTGCATACACCCTGTGTCTGCATGACTTTCCAGGCCAGAAAAATTTACTGTAAGTGAGGAAATCAGGAAGTTGTAAAATCCAAACAGACACAGAGAAATTCAAGACTCAACAAATACTGGTTGCCACTGAACAGACAGGCCTCTGTCCCAGTACACACGTGCCACTCTAAAACAAAAAACCTAAAACATGAAAACTGCACCTTAAGAAAGCTGTCTGGTAGCAAAACATTCTCAATGCGTTAAGTAAAGGTGACAATTAAAATGCTCAGACTCAAGCCCAATACGCAATAATCGGCCATCACAAAGTCAAATGCTGACTTCTTCATTAACCAAATTAAGTGAAACTAAAAAGAGAGATACTTTAACCCAAGTTTTACAAAAACTCTCTTGGCAATTTCTCAATTTCGGACACAGTACGGTTTGCAAAGACAATTATATTAAGCAGTCCACAAAGTGCTAAAGCATGGCTAGTCAGCGATTTTTCCAGGTCAAACTCTATCCTCAGACAGGAGCTACAGAGCATCGCAAAACCCTCACCTGATGTGTGATGCACTTCCCTGCAGTGGCCGGAGAGGAGGAGACTGCTGTACAAGGATGACGAACCAGTCTGCAGTGTGGATGGACCAGCCTGGTGACTTGATGCACGATGCTCCTGCAGCGGTCCAGGAAGTGCAGGAAAGGAAATCGAAATGAAAAACAGAACAAACTGCTTTAAAAAATAGTTCCACGTAAAATATCTATGCACTGAAATCTTCACTCTTAAGAACATCAAGTTTTGCATTTTGTTTCATGGGAATTATACAGATACCAGCCAGCTCAAAATGTAGGTCTGGTTTTACTCAACAGGGCTCAGAGGGAGGCCAACACACACAAAGGTCATCCCCTCAATCAAATTAAGAGTTTGGTCTCCCCATTTGAGCCAGCTACTGTCATTCTTTTCACTAATGATTCTGAGCAATCATCTGGTCAACACATGCTGGTAATCACAAGAATATCAGGTGAAAATGAGCATGGACTGAATAGTAATTGAGCCAAAGCCTAATTTTAATGTGGCATATACTACTATCAACATGCAACTTGAGGGACAATCATGAAAAAGCACAGTTATTAGCATACCAGTCTAATGAGATAGAAAAAAAGCATCAAATGTAAAAAAAAAATTAAGTATGCACATAGTCACTAGACTTTCCACTACTCTTTAATTATTTATTAAATGTATGTCTATTTCATTTACATTTTACCACAATGGCTTGCACATGGTTGAGTAAAAATTATCCACTGTATGATGAATGAGTGAATGTGTGAATGGATGAATGAAAGAGAGAATGAATGAATCTTCTATATACCTTTCCATCAGGGAGCTTGGTGACTGTAGTTTTTGTGAGGTAAAGACCTATGCATAGAAATGGAAGAAGTTGAGGACTTGATCTGCTAACACAGTTTTCAGCCCCATCTATTAAGTTATTTTTAAATACTGGTAATTCCCAGTTGTCCACATGAAATAAAATCAGTAGCACAGTTATTATAAAATATCCCCAAATTAGTCATCACTGACCTGATTTCCAGTCTTTGATTACTGGAGCTGATCTGCATATTTGTTTAGGCTGATTTTAAATTTAGTTTGGGCTTCCTAAACCCATGCCAGGTAACAGTAGGAAGGAGAAGGCCCAGGATTATATTGGGTGTCAGAAAGAAACTATTCTGGAGCTATGAATATGATCTCCAATGTGAACAATCTGTAAACAGGTAAGTGAGCCAATTATCCTTGGGTACATGGCAACACATCTCAGTAGTCATGATTATTTTCATGCATACACACTCACTATTTTTAAGAGCACAATCCAGCTGGAAAGGAAAATAATTTCAATTGCTTTCCAACACTTTTCAAAGCAATGAATAGTAGCCAAAGTATTCTTACTTCTAACTAACCCATTCACCAAGTACCTATTTAAGTATCTGTTATTGAATGCCTGGGACTGATAATCAAAAGATGTTAGTTTTCTAGTCCTTTGTTTTAACCATGTGAGTACAGAAAAAGAAGATAAACTGTCCTAGACTATAACATCTTTGAAAACACTATCCCTTTATGAAAAAGCTTGTTGAGTTACAAATTTACATAGTGACCAAATTAAATAGACGCTCACAAAATTCTTATTACTCTTACACGAACTCGTTTTAAGGGGAGGAGTCTTAATTTCATCTAGTAACATCGAATGAAGCAGAGAACCTGGATAATTATTTTCGAACAAGGTGCAGGGACTGTGCATTTGCAGGCAGCACTTTCTTTATGAGCTAATAGTTGAGAGACTGTTTGCCTGTATATCGATGTGTGCACACAATCCTATTTACATATCACCTGGCAGATAAGGTTTTATAGAGTCCAAATTACAGTCTCCTATTCTGCTGAAGTGCAGAGAACAGTCAAACATGATGCGAATGCTGTAAAATATTAATTTACTCTCACTAGTATGGCTACTTATTTCAGAAGTATTTGTGTTGCTACACCAGTTAGAGTAATTAAGAGAGTTAACATAACTTGCTGTATTCCATCAGAGGGAAGTAACAAAGAATACAAGCGAGGAAAAATGGATTCATTGCAAAATAACACAAACAATATGCAAAAAAAGCAACCTACAGATTGTTTTAAACAATATATACACCAAAATAAAATATTTAATTTTTAAAAATCACAGCAGAGCAACATAATGCAATACCATTAATAGTTGAAGATTATCAAGAAAGATGACCTAAATAATATTGGTATGTTAGTCAATGAAGAAGAGATAATATGTAAATAATGTAAACACAGGAGATAATATAAATACTTCGGAGAGAGTAGGCCAAAGCTAAAGATGCAAAAAAAGAAAATTTGTCATACACAGGGACAAAAAAATACACTTTTTTGAATGCTAGAAGCGGAAGTGCTTATAGGTCAGCATCAGTAACAATTATCATTAAAAGCTTCTGCTAGGTCCTGGCTAGGTAGCCCGGTTGATTAGAGCATCTGCCAAGGTTTCAGTCTGGACTGCAGGTCAGGCCTCATATAAGCAGCAACCAATGAATGCATACATAAGTAGACAACAAACCCATATTTCCCTCTCCCTCTCTCTCTCCCTCCCTTTCTCTATTTCCTTTTCTCTCTCTCTCTAAAATCAACCAATACATTTTTTAAAAAAGCCTTCTACTAAATGACTCCCTTGAAACATGTCTCGTTAAAGAGCCCCTAAGTGGGGGGAAAAAAAGAGTTCCTCTTAGCTTGAATCAAAACACCCGCATCAGGAGAGCCCCTGCCCCCTTAAGTCTCAAATTCTGATTATACATAATGAAGTTTCTGAAAAGTAATTTTCAGATATGATACAATTTTTGCTTACATTACAGCAATTATCATTGCATTTTCATTACTCCACAAATGGGATGCATTAAAGTTATAGAAAAATCAATGATACATTTCTGCTAACATCAAATATGTCAAAGAAAATATAATACTTGTTGCTTTTTTGTAACAGTTCTAAACATGTTTTAGCACATTTGTGATGGTAATATGTAGTACAAATATTTATTTATTGTCCATGAGCCTGAAAAGCTCAGATTTGTAAGCATTATAAAATATATACACTGATAAAGACAAAAATATGTAAATTATGAAATAAGAAAAAACTGTTTCCACAAATAAAGGTTATTTACCCCAAATTTTTACTACTCCTATAATTTTAAGTATTTATGTATATTTTTAAAACCATGATCCAATTACAACTTTTCAGCTCACGTTTAAGAATAGTCTCTAAAACTAGCACTCAGTATACTTATTATTATATCATCTCAAAGAATTTTTTGAATGAGTATTTTATTAAACTGAATTTAATGAATCTAAAATTTGAACAGCATGATTTCAATTGCTTTCCAACTTCATTCTTTAAAAAACAGGGCAGTCCTGTATGCAGAACCCTAAAACAGAAATTATTCTCTCTATTGGGATTTCAATGACATAAATATTTTCAATGCTTTTAAAAAAATAAAAAGGGCCTCCTTCTGCTAACTTTGGAAGTATAATTGGAACTAAATCAGTTCTTTGAAGCAATTAAACTGCACATATCTAAATCTCTCATAGAAGCCAATCATTCAAATTATTGAGTTATTCTGAAAATATAAAGCAACAGAAATAAAATTATCTACCTTCCCCTAAAAATGATATTCTGTCTTACTGCACTGTCACTTGACATACGCAAGTATTTAAGCTCTTATTTAAGTATTAAAGAGCCTAAACTGTGTGTTACTTTCAGACAACCATAGTTTAAAGAATTATATTTACCTAATTTCAGGGTTTTAGTCAAATACGTTTCTTGACTAACTTCTAAGAGGAAACAAAAGGAGCTGGTGTCACAAAGTGCTAGTCATCAGAAACTGCCATTGAAGGTAAGTGCCAAAGTACAATCCACTTGACATTTCAGAGTGAAAAAAAATTAAATAAATAAAGGCACATTCTACAAAAGGAATGTGAGTCCTTAAACTCTGTAGCGACAATAAAAACAGGAGTCTCAGAATTGTGTTGACTAACATTTTAATAATCTCCCAAGGCTGACCTTTCCCAGGACTCCCAGACAACTGAGTAAGGTATGTTGAAACGCAGGGCCATCTACAGGCATTTGACGTATAATCTGATAGCTAAAGAGTTTTTCTTGAACCTTTTCTCTAAGAATAAAAGACAATTTAGAAGCCCTGAAGCTGATTTATAATATTTCTGAAAAAGAATCACCCTGTTTACCAAACCCTCTTAAAACGAAATTCAAAGAGGAAAATATTAACTTTTACAATTCCAAATGAAGTACATTTTTCATCCTTATTTCAGCATGAATTTGTGCACTCAAAAATACATGTTCACATTTTGCTGCCAAGTAAAAACAATTTTCTGTAAGTTGTAAAACATCATCCAGGACCTCCAAGGTTTTGTGTAAAACTTCCACTTCGGTGCCTTATTTTATATCCTTGCTATTTCATCTGTTTACCTCTTCGAAGTAATAATAGCTCATTTTCACCATTGCAGTGGTTGATCTGAGCAGGACACAATCCAGTCATCAACCAAATAAACTCATTAGCAGAAACTCGTAACTCCACTTCCCACCACCAAGTAAGTATATACAGCACTTTCAATCCTCGCCCGAGGGGAAAAAAAGATTTACCAATTTAGCTAGGGGGCTATAAAACTGTACACTGGTAGGGTCACAACTAAATCAAGGCATGATTATTCTCAATTATTTTTACTTTCAAATATCAGGGTTACTAAAATACTTCCCTTTATTTGGATTGCCTGAGCAACACAGAGCTTCAACCAAAGCTACTTGTATTTTTCTAACAGTATTATTGGTCTTTGCATAACAGGCTGAGTAAGGTGGTGTCCTAATGCAGAGTGGACTGCTGCTCTCTAAATTATTAAATGTTCATTAAATTATATCCCAAAATAGAACAGAAGTTGTTTATTGTGCAAAAGCACCACACATTATCAGTCTGCCAGCTACAGGCCTGTATTATCTCTTTCCTGAGACAAAAACCTTTTAACTTAACTGCCACAGATGTAAAGATCGTGCCACAGATCCAAATAAAGAATAAATACATTCAGAATGGCTGTCTACTACCAGTCCCCCCTTTTTTCTATTATGATGGCTGTAAAGTTTTAAAATGTGACAATGGGGATAGCCTTCCCAAATAAACTACTCCCACTGAACAAAAGCTTTAGAAAACCAGTCATGACGACTGACAAACTCGGACTCTAAAGGATGAGCACTTTCACACTTGAAAGGGTTAAGTGCCTGCCTGCAAGGCCAAAGGCACCAGAAGCAAAAGAAATGTTGCTTTAGTCAGCTCTGAAAGGTTTCTAACAAGTACCAAATACTTGTTGATCTGTTCACAATAAACACCAGCAGGATTGTAGGTCTCCTTTCACTGTCTGGGGAGAGGCATTTACATAGTACACCCAGTAAGAACAGCTTGTTGGTCTCCTTTGAGTATGGAGAAGCCTCACTCAGCGTCTCCGTCCAAATGACTGAAAGACGCAATTGAAATAGTGAAGTCTCTCATCTGGCTTGGGCAGCACAAATACCGTAGGTAAGACACTTGGAACAGTCCAGGCACAAAACAAACCCACCTGAATGGACGAGGAACACTGCCTGTTGCCATGGCAGCCTGATCTAATTACATGAGTGATCAGGGTTGGAGTAAGTGCACGGAAAACCTACACCACTGACCATATCTACAGGAGGCGAAAGGCAGGCAGGCAGGAGGTTTAAAAGAGACTTCAACCTCTGCTTTATGCAGAAGGGATCATTTAAGCCCATCTGTCTGTGGAGCTGTTAAAATACTGACTGATACATGCACAGAGGGCAGTCAGAGGAGATTTAAATGCCACCGCATTAGCTGTTATGGTGCAATCCCTTCCCAAGAGTTCATGTGCAGGATTTTCTCATCCCTCTCTCTGGTGGTTTCCCCAGGCATACGCTTCATTCCAGAAAAAAAGAAAAAAGAAAGAAAAAAGAAGAGCTCAAGTATCGAACTTCTTTGGCCCACCAAATAAACCCCAATGTGGGCTTTAACAGGGTCTTCAAGGAAATTCAGGTCTCCCCCAAAACCCAAAAAGAAATGGTTTAGCTCACACTGTTGAAAAGTAACTACCGGTACCTGAGCCTAAAAATAAACATCATTAACTACCCTCTGCTGTGTGTGATATGTAAGGATGATGTTTAAATATTAAGAACAGCCTATATTATAAAACACAAATGTCACTGAGCTGTGACTACCAGCTTGCCAAAGGAGAACTTATTTGCATACACACATTCCCTTGCATGCACGACAGGATGTGCAGGGAGTAAGCCACTCCAAGGCATTAGTTTTGATTCTGTGGGTGTAATGGGGTCTTCTAATTTTGCAAGCTGTATCCTGTGGATCTCACAGAGAAGCTAAAAAATCTCTTCGGGGACAGAACCAGCTTAGAGGAGTCCCTACTGCACAGCATACGGTAAACAAAATAAAAATAGCTTGCCGTTCTCGTTAGCCACATCGCGCATTATATAACCAGCTTCCGACTGGCTTTTTTTTTTTTTTTTTGCCCTTACTACTCTTCAGCAATTTCCCAATCTCCCGAAGTATTTATATTACCCTCTTATCTGTAGGATTATGTACTAAGAAAGCAAAACGAAACAGAGCAGCCACAGGATTGAACCGAACCCCACAATGCTTAGAAGCCTGTTTTGTTTTGTTTTGTTTTGTTTTGTTTTCTGGCAGTATCTCCACCACCACTCTACTTTCACCCCCAATCAAGGTTCTTTCTCAGTCTCTCTAGAAAACCTGGATTGTTTCATCGCTTCCAGTCGGCCCCCTACGTGGTCTGAAATAAAATGAAAGCACAAGCCACGGAGTTTGGGCTGGCAGTCTGAGGGCGGGGGACTGAGGAGGGGTCGGGCGCTGTAGACTCAGTCAAGTGGCCTCGTAGGGCCCCCTCTCCATTGCCACGGCCCCCGTCGAATCCCACCCCCCCCCCGCGAGAGCGCGCGAGCGCGCGCGCGCACACACTCACACACACACACACACACACACACTCACACACGCGCGCTCACTCAATCACTCTCCCGCCGCGCTCCGCCACAGCCTCACCTCTCGCTCCGCCCGTCCGGCCCCTTCCCTGCCCCCTGCGGGGCCGGCCTGCGCGCAGCGCTGGGACCACGTAGGAGGAGGCGGCGGCCGCGGGAGTGGCAGTGTCTCCGGCCCGGCCCGGAGAGAACGGGCAGCGAGGCTCCAGGGCGCATCCCAATCCCCGCAGCGCCTCCACCGCCGCCTCCTCCTTCCCCTCCTCCTGACTTCATTCACCCTCCCAGCAGCCGCGGAGCCGTGCACTCCCGGCGCGGGCAGGGCAGCGCCTGCCGCTGTTCCTCTGCTCTAGCCGCTGGCGCAGGCGGGGGTGCCGGCCGGAGCTGGGGCGCTCACTGGCTCCCGGCCCCGGGCGGCACGGCGGCAACACAGGATCAGGAAGCGGCTGTACCAACAGGGCCGCCACCGCCACTCCGGCCGCGCTCCCAGCACCGCGACCCCACGTCCATCCGTCCGCGCCGCCCCCCCAACCCCTCGCGTTCCCACCGCCTGCGCCCGGCCGCGCACAGTGTCCCGGCTCCTTCTCCGGCGCTGACCCCTCCGGGTCCATTGCCAAACGCCCAGAGAGACCTGCCTCCGAGAGGAGACCCCCAGCCCCTAGCCACCGAGGCCGGGCAGACACCTGCGAGTCAGCCTAGCCCCTCCTCCAGACCTGCTAGCTCCCACTACCCTCTTTGAGGAGAAGAGTGAGGAGGGGGCACGGGAGGAGAGGGAAGCGCGACCCGAGCAGCCGTCGCCTCCCTTTTCCCCACCTCCAGGGAGGAGGACATGACCCTCCGCGTTCGCTGCCAGACCAGCAGCCGCCCGAGCCCGGCGCCGCCGCAGCGCTCTACCCCCGCGCCCCCAGCCCGGGCGCGCCCACCCGCTCCGCTGGCGCCCACCGTGTCCCCCGCAGTCCCCCTGCCGGCCATCCCCGTGCCCAGATCGGGGTGTCGGCCCAAGAAGCTGAAGCCGGGGAAGGTTGTATGTACACACACACACACACACACACACACACACACACAAACAACACAACAAGCCGCGTCGATTTCCTTCGCTCCTCTTCAAGCTGTTTTCCGTGCTGTCGATTGGGGTTTGGGGTTTGTTTGCTGGTTGTTGCTTTGGCCCATCTTAGGAGAGCGGGGGTAGAGGGAATGTTAATCTAAATCAGGGGAGAAGGAGATGGGGGAGGGTAGAGACAGAATCAGAGGAGAAAAAAAATCGCCACTTACTGTAAAGTGTAAATGGATCTGGGGTGGCGTGGGGAAGGGGGGGCAGAGGGAGAGAAACAGTGTCTTGCGGCTGCTGTAGCTCTGGCTGCTGCTCCAAGGGGCTTGTTTTGGATCCCCCCGCAGTGAAACAGGTCCTGTACGGCTCCGCCACTGTAGTAGAAATGATGTCTGCGGTATACTCTGCTCTCTCCTCCTCCTCCTCCCCCCACACTCTCTTCCCCTCCCCTCCCTCCTCCCTCCGCCCTCCCTCCCTGGCGCTCTCTCGCGCTCGCTAGCTCGCTCCAGTATGTAAATGTGTAATAGAAGCCAAATATGGAGCAGTTGGCTGCCGCCGCCGCAGCTCAAGGATCCGACAGGAGGGGGGGCACCCTCCGGCGGGTGGTGGGGCAAGCGGCTCCTAGCCGGGCTAGTGCACGGCGACGAGCTGCGGGTCCGCGCCCTTAACCCTTCGGTGCGTGCGCCCCGGCTCAGCGGCCTTCAGGGAGGTGGGCGCGTGTCCCCAAGACAGACTTGGAGTCCAGAGGCTAGGAGCGGGAGGGGAGACACTGGCCGGAGGGGACAGTTCTTCCAGGTTTGGGAAAGGGGCGGGGAGCTGAGGCGATGAGGTAATTGTAGCGATGACCGATGGGTCCTCGCGCGCCTCCCAGGGTCCCTGTACCTAGTTGGAGGGGACAGAACAACAGCGGGGTGCAAGTCAGGCACCTTGGAGGACTCTCTGGCTCCGAGCCAGTGAAGTAGCCCATGGGAAGGGGAGGGGAGGACTGCCAGTGCTGATTTCCTAGGTGCAGAGAAGCGTGCAAGAGGGCCGACTGCGTCGTCCCGAGCAGCCACTCTCACTCGGTTTGGCTTCGGCGTTCCAGGACCCAGACCACCGGGCGGCGGGGAATGCCTCTGCTTGCAACTCTAGAAAGTTTTAAGGGTGCCCCCCAACCAACTGCACGTGCACCCTTACCTTTCCTGCCTGGAAAGTCGGTGACCTCCCTGCCCTCTTTTCTCTTCCTGCAGGTCCCGAAATCGGCTGTGAGTGTGGAACTACCCAGCTGTAGCCCTGGTAGACTACCCGCGTACTCCTCTCGCAGCTAATTCGGGATCATTAATTTAATCGGAAATGAGGTAACTAGTGTAGGAGATAGCAAACCAAGCATCAAATGGCAGTTCTCGGTGAATCCATGCCGAAGAACTTCCTCTGGACTCAATTTTTAATTGCGATTCTCTACTCCCCACCACCTGCCCCTTCTGGATGTACCACCGCCTGGTGTTAGTTGGGTGGGAAGGAATCTTCTTTCGAGGGGTGCACCTTGCCCACAGGTGATACACTCGGAGGAAGAAGAGGCACATCATGCTAAATGGAGCTTGGTGTGGTGTTCCCCTTGCTGCAGATAATTCTGGAAGAGCAGTGGGTGTCTCGGCAGCATTTGACCTCCTTCAGGTGCTTAGAACCAAGTGTCTGGAAACATAATCCTTCCAAGTAAGTTTGTCTCTGGAAGCCAGCACTATTGACTGTAAGCTGTATTTGAGAAACCTTTTGGCTGAGTTAACTTATGACCTAACCGTTAGTCACCAACCGAAGCAGGATACGGAATCACCAAGAGGAACGTGTCGGCTTTTAAACAACCGTATTGGAGAAACAGCCCGTGCTACAGAAGTAAAAATTTGCATAACTATGAAGGTGTAGAGGCCCTGAAATATTTTGCTCACATTTTGAAATACCATATACATGTACATAGCTATTTAAATAGAACCACTACTCTTCACTGTTACTCGTTTCTACTTTTTTTTTTCATTTAAAAATCAGTGATTGTTATAGTTTAAACCCAGGGTTGGTCTAAAATGACATTGTTGGTCTCATTACAGCCTCTAGTGGACAGTTAACATCAGTTTCCTGAAAAGGCTCTTCCTAGTGTTGTGTTCCTTAACAAGTATTATGAAGGTGAAGGTTAATACCTCAGACAGAGCGGGGGAATATCGCTTTCCCCCACTTTGCAGAGCTGGCTTCTGAAAGGAGCAGCAGCTGTCGGCTCTGCACGGAAAAGATGTATGCTTTGTGCTGCAGGTATTCTTATTACGGGCCTGTGAATAAACAGAGAGCTCCTGCTCTTCATTTCAATTTCAGACAGTTTTCATAAAAACTCATCTAAAATATTTTTATAACAGAAAATATTGTTTGCCATGTTTTTGGCTTAACTGAGATGTTTTTATTCCAACTCCTAATCTGCAGACTGTCCAATCCACCTACACTCTATTTTTAGACATCTTATATTTAGAGAATTTTTAGTTAAAAAATCTAATATTTTAATTGTTGCATTGGCACAAGCAGTTAATTTATTTTATAACCCTTAAACAAATTAAAACACATAATTCAGATTAGAGTTAGTCAATTAATTTAAATATTCCCTCAAGGAAGCTAAATATGTATATTACCAAAGCAGTAAGAACAATTAATAAGAAATGTGTCATTTACTTTCTTAGCCATTAAGATTAAAGCCATAAACTGCCATTAAGATCTGTAACTATTTCTTCCTGCAAGGTGCAAACAACATAAACATAATAATACTCATGATGCAATTTCATTACCTTTAGCATGGAAATCTTTTATCTTCAGATGGCAAAAAAGTAAATGTACAATCACAAATAACTGGTGCTGACTCTTTAAAGACAACATTCTCATGCAAATAAAAACCCAATGGAAGAAGAGCAGAGCTTTCACAAAGCCAGTAGATAAATATATAGTACTGTGGTCTTATTCGTAAACCTGATACTATATTCCTACAAGCGTAAGTCAAACTTTGAAATAAAGGAAATTGAGAAACAAGGCCTGCTGAGCCTTACTCCTAATTTGTGTTCTGCATTTACCAAACACCATGGAAAATCATTTCATCCCTAATATCTGTTTCACTCTTTAGGTAGCATCCACTTTTGAAGGTTGCAACTATCAAATATATATTACAGTATTACATCTTGCATCTGCAGTGTCTTCAGAACAGCAGCAGCAACTGGGAGCTGTTGAGACAACCAGAATGAGCATTCCACCCCAGACCCACGGAATCAGAGTCTCCCTTTGAACCAGCCCCTGGGTGATTCCTAAGCACAGTGGTGTGAAGAATGCTGTCCCTTCTACAAGGGCTCTGTCTGCATGAATTTGGCCACTGACACAAACCTTAATTCTTCTATTTATTCATTTTTTATTTCCTCCCTCTTTTATTAATTTTTAATGAAAAATTGTTACATGTTATGCTTTGATTAAATCATACTGCATTTCAGAAGAGCTGTGATTTATGCACAAATCTGCAACATCATCACCAAGAGAACACTCTGAGGAATGCACTGGGCCTTGAACAGAAAGGCTTCCCTCATGGCAGCAGAGGGAGCACAAGAGCACTTTCATGAACCAAGTGCACAGGCGGTCGGAGAAGGGTAAGTGGTTTTAAAGGTAGCATATTTTTTCATTGGAAGTAGCTTCCTATATAGTTCAAAACAAAACAAAAACAAGCAAACACAAAGAGCTTATCAGGTTTTAACAACTAAATGTCAAACAGATTGGAAGTGAAATATAATATAGATGTGCTTATTTGGAGTTTTAGTCTTGAATATTTGAAAAAATGGTGGAACTCAAAAGTCATAGTTGGAAAAGATGCCTTAGCTTTTCTCCAGTCAAAAATAAAAATAATCATGTCACACTATATGTAAATCAACCCACCATGCTGTATGCCTCAAACTTAGAGAGTGATGTATGTAAATTACTTCTTAATAAAATGTAATCAAAAGTTAAGATGACATACAGAATGAGGCAACTCTAGGAGTAACTCCTACTTATTTTAAAATGTCAGAGTCAAGCCCTGGTCAGGTGGTAGAGTTGGTTGGAGTGGCCTCCCCTACCCCAAAAAGCTTTCGGGCTGGATTCTGTCAGGGCATGGTGGGGTATGTGCAAGAGATAGATGTTTCTCACATTGATGTTTCTGTCTTTCTCTCTCTCTCTCTCTCTCCTTCCCTCTCCCTCCCTCTCCTCTCCCTGCCCCCCTTTCTTTTCTCTAAAATCAATAAACATATCCTTGGGTGAGGATTTAAAAAAATGTTGGGGTCAGTTAACCCATCACCGTGTCTCATAAATTTATTTCTTTTAGACTTAAATATATTGGTGGAAAAAATGCTCCAACATATATTTTTGCCTGGATATAATTTTTAACTGATTTTTTTCAGAGAGAGAGGAAGGTAGAGGGGAGAGAGAGACAGACATCCATTGGTTGCCTCACTTGGGAATCAAACCCCCAACCTTTTGGTGTATAGGTCAACACTCCAACCAACTGAGCCACCTGGCCAGGGCCTTCTCACAATGCTTAACTTCACAGTAATTTTAGGGTTTTGTCCTTAATGTTTGCAGTGGTGAGGACTTACATTTGAATTGTATCTATGTAGCATTTTACACTTCTCATAGCCCTAATATTACATCTTCAAACAGTCCTATGAAGTTGACAAGACATGAAAAAACCAAGCCTCGAAAACGTTTTGGAACTGGCTTATACTTTCACAGCGCTGGATCATTTAATTGTTACAATAATCCAATGAGGTGTTCAGACAGGAGGGAAATCCTAGAACACAGGTGGCAAACACAAAGCGCACCGGCAGAATCCTGCCCCCCACCCTGTTTTATCTGGTCTGGCACCTTGTTTCCACCCAGCGGCAGCACCAAGCTTTTTGCCTCTAGTTAAGGAGTAGTTACAATCATACGGTCCTAAAATTACATTTGGCCCTTTGAAAGCAACCTCAAGGCTCATGTGGACCCCGGTAAAAATGAGTTTGACACCCCTGTCATAGAGGTTAAAGCCTTGGCGAGCACATTCTTTACCATCTTGAAGGTTTTTTGAAGTTACTAGATAGTGAATATTTAATAAATGAATTTTTAAATGAAATTTATGAATAGAGATGATGTCTTAATTCTCAAACTCACTCTGTATGTAATTATCATTTAAAGAACAGCCTTACAGTTCAATGTATTTCTCACTTATTTACCAGCATTTATTATGCACCTACAATAACTAGGTCATAAGACTATAAAGATGAGAAAGACATCTTTGTCTTCAAGGAATTCACATCAAAATAAATATTAGCCTTTGAAAAACACTCATTTTTACCATGATAAAAAGGGAAAGACTCATAGTTGCTGGACCCGGCCCTTGTCACAGTCATCAATTGCATCAACCAGACTTTCAAATGTGAGAGGCATTAAACATTTGGGAGGTGGAAAGGTAATCATCTGAACCATCTTTCTTGACTCTTCAGCAAAATCTGACTACAAACTAATTTTAATATTTCAAATTTATAAAACAAACAAAATTTAAAGCTATAATGTGTATTTCATCTGAGTTCCTTCTCTATCCCTCCCAAAAAAGTCACATGAGTAAATCTAAATGGTAAACATTTATTTATTTTTATCTTAAAAAAAATTGTTAAAAAAGAATTTCCTCCTACGTGAAAGTAGGATTTGCCAAGTCTCTGTCTGGAGCAATGTGTTATGGCTGTGTAATGAATCCCGGAAAGTTTTAATTTTTAATGGAAACACTGACAGACCTTTAACCATGCTATAATAAGGAGGGTGCTCGCCTACATATGTCATTTAAAAATCTGAGCGAATCATAGCATGCTCGCAAAACAAATAGACTTTCCTTAGACTGCATCCTGAAATACAGCTGGGGAGACGAGAAAAGAAAAATAAACTAAAAACAAAAGTGAAAACCACTCACAGAGTGGACTCTGAGGTCAGCCTGCCACACCCAGACTACAGAGGCTGAGCTCTACACGAGACATGGGGACTGTTAAAGGACGTACTTCTAGGTCATCTTGCTCAACCTTTCACCAAACCACAGCAGGACAGGCATCTGGGGAGTGGAAATGACATCACCGATAGTGAAGAGTGACGTCACAATCATTGTATTCAAACATTTGTCAGTGGTTTGTGATTTAACAGTGCACATTGGGCAGTTTTAAATGAGGGTCTGTCCACAGTCAAACACAAGAACTAGTGCCTCAGTGCAGTCCTGCAGTATCCACTATGGCTACCAAGCACCTGAAATGTGCCTAGTTCAAACCGAAATGTGTTGCAGTATAAAACATACTTCAGACTTGAAAATAACACACACACATATATCTACATACATATATACACATGTATATGTATCTCAATAATCTTCATATTGATTAAATGTTGGAATGAAAATATTCTATATGTATTAGGCTAAAGGAAGTAAACTTAAAATTAAATTTACCAATTTCTTTTCACTTATTAATGTGGCTGCTATAAAATGTAACATTCCACGTGAGGCAGGGCTGTATATTACATTTGTAATGAACAGTACAGGTACAGACAGCGGGGCTGGGGAGGTACAGCAGTGAGTTCCAAGAACCAGAACTAGAGATCCTGGCCTGGCTCTCTGCTACAGTGCAGTAGATAACGTAAGTTACTTTTCTGGCTTCCTCAGTTTTCCACCTGGCAGACGTGGACCTTATTCCTGTTAAAACCATCCCTGAGAGGTAACTCTCTGTCAGGGAAGGCAACATCTCTCATTGGTGGAACTGGAATGGGCCTGCAAAACACATTGGTTAGACTCTTCTGTGACTCATCTTTTTACTGGGAAGCTGATGGAAAACTTACACTCTGGTTTAGAAAGCACAAGTGTTCTTGAGTTACAGTTCTTTTGGCCGCTCGAGGCTGAATGGTTTGGGCATGATACCGTCTTGTAACAGATGGCTTTTGGCATTGACAGTGAAAATTTGAGAATTGCTCCATAATTATAAAATAAATCAAGGCCACCCAAAGAAAACCTGTTTTTTTTAAAAAAAAAAAAAAACAAACTTTGTAATATATTTAGTACAATAGGACACCCTAAAAGGAAATGAGATGATTTTAAGCAAAATAATCTCATAAGCAAGACCTAGATAAGTTTTCATCAATGGAACTGTGGTCAAGATTGAATGTAGTGCAATGACCTAGGAAATATCAGAATTTATGGTCTTAATCATCTTAGGAATACAGCTTTTCTTACATAAAAAGAAAATGGATATTTTAAGGCTTTGAGTTGAGTGTGTTGAATTTTTGCTTGGTATTGGCCAGGAGCACTTGGAAATCTATTAAAAGCATTTCATTAACAACTTGGCATTTGGTTTCCTCAAAAGAAATACATTTTCCAAATTAAAATCGAAACCCAAAGCCACCATTTTTTGAACTTAAGGTAGTGGCAGTTGGTGGGTAGTACATGTAAAGCTTGGAGTACCTACAAAATAAGATCACTGGCAACAAATGGGCTAAATAAATAAATAAACGTCTACTTGTTAGGGAAGCGAAGTTCTTTGTTATTCTAGCTTCATGACATCAAAACATACATATACATAGCTATAAGCTCTTTCAGTTACTACATTTTTCTTGAGTCAGTATCAGCCAGGAGAAGCTGACCCAAGTGAAGGTCAGGGTTTCAGAAAATTATTTTATAAGGAATTTACCAACTTTACCCCCAAAAGGAAGAGTTAGAGAAAGCTGCATTGGCAAAGCTTGCCCTTTGATGTAAATAGTTGAAAAAACTGCCCGCATCATGATTTCAGCCAGGGTTGTCAGGAGTTTGATATTTGCAGAACCCCTTTCCATGGGCCTCTCCAAATTTGACTGCTGGGATATTTGGGGGAGCTCTCAAGACTGACTTGCCTTGTATGTGTGGCACAGACGTGAAGTGATAGCTACTCCCACAGATGCTTTCTGACAAAGCAGAATAATAGCACTCAGACTTAAACTGTAAATTACAAACAATCCCTTTTTACGTACAAAATGAATGCACCGAATGGAAGACCCTGTCAGCTACAATGCCAGTAAATCAAATAGAAGAAGACAAATTGTTTACTCATACTACTACAGCCAAATTCTTATTCTGCTAACTGTACTGTCATGGGAGAGTTTTTCTTTTTCTTTTTCTTTTTCTTTTTCTTTTTTTTTTTGTGCCAGGTATAAAGAGGAATTAATACATTGTAATTCTAATAAACGTGGAAGGCATCTGGTGTTTCTCCTCTGAAAGCCAATCAATCAGTTGCACGATCTGTTTCCCAAACCCTCCCCCTACCTCTGGTTTCAAAGTTGTAACTTAAATGCCAATAGTAAGAACATGTGACCCAGTCACTCCCAGAACTAGCTTCTTCTGCAGTCAATTTCGTAATTACAACTCCCTGCCTCCCTGCTCAGCACTTCCTTCCCCTTAGCCGTCCTCTCTCCCCAACCCCCAGCAATGAATCATCCTGCATTTAAAAAGACTTAGATGACCCAGTTCAAACTTCACTGGCATCCTGTACATTCTTATGCCAAAAAAGGGGAGTTGCTCTATGACAGAAACCTAGCCAGATCCTGATGCAGATCTCAGCGGCAACAAAC